ACCACTTCCCTGGGCAGCCTGGTCCAGTGCTTGACAACCTCTTTCAATAAAAAATTTTTCCTCATGTCCAATCTAAACCTCCCCTGGCGCAACTTGAGGGCATTTCCTCTCGTCCTATCGCTTGTTACTTGGGAGAAGAGACCGACACCCACCTCGCTACAACCTCCTTTCAGGTAGTTGTAATGAACACCTCAACATCCCTTTCATTAAGACTTTACAATGATCCACCAAAAAGAGAAAATATAATCACTTTAACAAAAAGTCCTCTGTGGGTCTCTTGTCCGTGCTCTGTTCAGGCCTCCATCGCCAGCGAAATTGTACATCTGTGTGTTTTATCACCCAGTCTCTGCTATCCAATATATTTATGTAACTCTTCCCCCCAAGAGGCTCTCAGCAAGCACAGAGGTCTGTGCTAGACAATTCAGTATCAGTATCAAGGCTTTGGCTTGTAAATGCTGAGCATGCAGGCTATCTTCTATGTGGCTCACATAGCCAATCACCTCAATAGCATTCAATAAACACTGATAGTAATAACATCATCTAGAAGCTTATTTTGCCACCCACCTTTGACAAATACACACCTGGCTCCAGCTAGTCAGATGTCCACAGTGTGTCTACCTCAATTATACGTAACCAGATATGGTAAGTTTATTGCCTCAGGGTAATGTCTGTCTGTTCCAGCCCTGTACCTGTGACACACAGGTCAGACTGATCTGTCTAGCCTACTGTCAGAGTAGAACTACTGCCTGTATAATCTCAGCTTTCTGATGCTCCTCTGTCCCAGGGACAACACGTGGTAGCCTTCAAACACATACCACTGTGAATCCCAGCACCTCCTGACAACCAGCAAGGTCAGAATCTGCCTTCTCACAAGTTTCAAGCAAGTTTCTGTTCAGTTAGCCCAAAGAGACTACAAGGACCCTTCAGACTTGCTATAAATATCACAAAGGAAAACATTTTAAACACTTTGAAGTTGCTCCTGTTGTTCTAACTTATGGAAATGCTCTTGTTGAAGAAAAACCTTTTCCACAGGCCAGGTTTCTGTGCAGGCAGGTGGGAATGCAGTGAGGTTGCAATCTCAGTTCACAAGCTCCCAATGACAACACCAGCAAGAACTGGGTGAGCTGTGGAGCCAGAGAAAGTCAGGCAGAACAAAGGCCTCACTGCAGGCGGCATGTGGGCCGGGCTGAGGAGAGGTTGGGTATTTTTTTAATACAATCTTGTTGTCAAAGAGGGTGGATGCCACTGTTCAGCTATGTCAGAATCACCTAAATAGAGGTATCTATTCCCTACGTCACATCAGCCACTGAGTAACACAAGGGTGAGGTGAAATCCTGTGACTGAGCAGATTCCTTGCTGGTAGCAATCACTCCACGGCTGTGCTTAAAATTCTCTAATTAAGCCTTCCGTGTCATCTGACCTGTCTAAAAACAGGAGCTGTCTGCAAACTTAGAAGACAGATTTTGGTTTCAACCTTTCCAGGAGGCCCAGAGTTTTTCTTGGCAGGTCTGTAATCTGAGTTTAGGCCTGCCTGTGCTTTCCATACTTGCAAAGCTTCCTGCCAAGCAGACATGCTGTATCATAATGTGCTCTCTCTTGTATCGTACCACCTTGAAATCCCAATGAGAGACTGTGCTGTCCCAGTGTATTCCAGGTATTACCCCACTGTAACATCTCCAAAGGGTTTGGCATTTTGGGGGGTGGGGGAGTGTCTTTAAATGTCCTGTCAGCCCAGGATGCGTTTAGCGCCTGGTTCACACACGCTGCTGCAACAAGGTTATAGCTAAGTGACAATCCTGACCTTGACCCCCTCCCACCGATGTAACTTTCATGCCCAACAGAAAATACTCACAGATTAAATTCTCTATTCTATCAGCAAGAGCTGGTGCAATTCACTGAAGCTATTGGCATGAGATTAAAATCTGTTAATTATTAACTTAGATGTTTTAGACATCTGCTCAGCTCTAGGGGATACAGTATAAATAAAATCTCATCTCTTCAAGTGGACAGCTGATCCCAAGAACATCTCCAGGGATCTGGCCTGCCTTTTTGTTTTGTTCTTCTGTCCAACACACATTCCACCATCTCTTCGTCCATCCAAGGCCCAGGTCAGCCAGATCTGGCAATGTTACAGGCATCTTTGAACCCTACTCAGAAGAAACCCTTATCAGTTTTCTTTGTATTACTGTCCCAGTGGCTGTATCCCATGCACACCTGGCAGATAGTTTCTAAATAGGACTTCGACCACTGTATGTTTTGCACTGCACTGTCTGGTCCAAAGAGCAAATTCATGTCTGGTGTATTAATTTCACTGGAGTCACCCACAGGGACAAATGTAACCTATTGCTGATTACACATTCAGGGTCAAATTGACTCCTGCATCACTGCTGACGGTGCTGGAGATATGCAGGCTGTAACGGGTGCCATGACACACTGTCCTTACCAAACGCTTTGGCGACATCTCCTGGGCAGCTGCATCCTCCATCCTGCATAAAGAAAAGACGACAGTGAGTGGCAGTGAGCTCACTCAGGGACCCAGCGAGCACTGGCCCCCTGCGACCCGCAGCAGAATGGCCTCTGCTCAGGAACAGCGTGTCAAGAGCTGACTGTGCACCACTGGTATACATCATCTTGGCTGAGTTTTTAGGGAATCCATATTACCCCTTCTACTGCTTTCCTTCTTTAGGCTCATTTACTTTACCGTATAAGTCTACTGATAATACCACTGGTAACAGCAGCAATGCAAATTCCTGACTGCAATTTCCTAAATCCCAGAAACTGGAAAAAAAAACCCTCCTCTGATGATCTGAATCATTCCCTGCCATTTTAATGAAAGGCTGTGTGATGCAGAGGTACCACAAACCCCTACCTTAAACCACCAAAGACATTTAAAAGAACTTTCTCAGCAGTTTACAACACATTAAAAGGTCACAGTGGGAGGGGTGAGGAAATATACCATCAGCTATGTTGGATTTTCATCTGATAATCTCTAAGCAAATTGGGTAATCTAACCTTTGGTAAGTGAAAATGAATCTCTCATCATACTCCTCACTGTTTGCTATGGGTTTGGTAAAGAAACAACAGCACTTTGAGATCTTTAGCATTTTAGACCTATGTGTTTCAGTTTCAGTGCAGAGCAAAGAAGTGGCTGATGAGGGGGTTTCGGTTGAGGGGAGGGAAGTTCTGTATGTGTGATAGGGCTGTAAAAAAGGAATGGCACATAGCAGAGCTCATCATGTGCTATGGTTCTTTAGGTTTCATAAAGGTCTGAGCATCAGATGAAAGATCCTTTTACACAGTCATTGTACCAAGAGGGCTCCCCATTCCTCTGATGATCAGGGTCCGTTGCAGACTGCTGACAGCTTTCCTGCTCTTGAAGCTACTCCCCAGACTGTGTGGTTACTTCATTTTGTTTCACCTCCCTGTTGGCAGAAATGCATGCCTGTGTATGACCTGTGGCTGAGCACAGCCAGACATCCCCACCATCAGCCATTTTAGAGCTGGCTTTCATGGGTAGCTGGCAGTGGGGCTGAGTGTTAGAATCTCTCTATGCGCAGAAAAGGATTCAGACACAAACTGAGCAGGTGGATCTGAAAGCGAGTGGCTTTTCAAAGGGCATCCCACTGCAAACAGCACCTGGTAGAACTTTAAAGGCTTTTATTCCATTTGCTGATAACCTCTAGCACATTATGCCTTTTGTTGAGCTAGACACTCTTGCTGTCAGCTCCAGAAAGGAGTGCTGGGCTGACAGCTGAATCTCTTTCTCCTGTTAAGGGCTCTGCTTGTGCAATTCTCTCCCTCTGACAAGTCTGTCAGAGCCTGGAGGAGGGTGTGAGTGTGTGTGCCTGTGTCAGGGGAGGAAGAGCCGAGGTAGAAAGAGAGGTCTAATAATCTTCAAAGAGTAGTGTCAGGAATTTGCCTGACTCTTACTGTCTGACTGAGACAGGCTGGCTATGAATGCTCTCTGGTAGATGGGTTTCAGTCTGTTCTTGTTGGGTGGCTCAGTGTCTGACTTTTATAATTAACCCAGTAGTGGCAGTGATGGAGGCTTTATGCTTTCGGAAGTACCATGGGGATGGGGGCCTTAGTGTGTAATCATTAATCATCGGCTTCAAAAAATATCACTTTGAATGTCACCAAATTACAAAATGCTGAGCAGATTAAGAGACTTTCCCAAACGCTCATGAGTTAGTTACCATTTAAGATAAAAGGAACCAATGATGATTCACAGCACTTCTTTATCTGTAGATGTCTCCACTTACTTCACATAAGCAGGTAAATTTAATGATTCACAGAAAGGGAAACAAAAAGGGGATGTACTAAGCAGTTATGCCAGAAGATGCTATATAATAAAGCTATATGCATTAAACCACTTCATTCCATGTGAAAAATCAAGTACTCCGTTTAGAAAATAAGGCTGTGCTTCTGCTGCATTGTCTGGCAAGCTTCCCCTTGCGGTTCAGCTCATCCCAACAGGGGCCTGCCTCTGGACTCAATGACTTGTAGAACTGCTGGGCTTCAGTCATGGAGCTTGTTGCAGGCTCAGCCTCTACCTCAGAGCCCTGGGGAAATGTATCTGTACAAATCCCCCTGTGAATTCAGGAGAATTGGCATTATTCTGAAGTAAGCCTACTGGAAAGGGTGGCCATGGGGCCTATAGAGGGCATGATTCTGAGACAACTGGGTGCTAAGCTGAAGGAGAGGGGAAAACAGCTTTCCAGTCAACAGAATTATTTTAACGTGGCTAAAATAATGTTATTTTCCCCAGTCTCGTTCTCCGAACAGATAAACCGTTTTACAACAACAAAATTTAGCCTGAGGAAAAATATGGAAAACCAGTATGAACTGGTTGAATATTTAATATTATGTGCAACTTATAATAAGTTTGTAACTATGATTTATATGTTTCAAGCAACCTTTATAATAAACTGTATAACCAGCCCTTCCTACAGTATCAGCAAACAGATAGCTATTTATAGAAGATATATAAAGTATGTGGCATATACAGCAGTAAAAACAATACACATGGTGCTTTATTCTGAACTATATATGCTGGCCATATTTCTGTGTGGAAAGTGTTCTGTGTGGAGGAAGAGACGGTATGGCAGTAGCTGGGTGAAGAACCCCTTAGTCATCCTTTCCACTGAACGCTGGTGGCCCATCACCCAGACAGGGTGAAGGTGAAATAGGGATCTCTATCAAATGATAGCCGAATGAGAGAGGACACATGCAAGGCTGCTTTCCATTCCCCACATTGCTGGCTTACTAGAATACGTGACTGCCTCTCTACCCGGCAGAGTAGTTCTCTGACCTACAAGAAACAGAAACCTTATCTCAAGTAGGGCATTTCTGAAGGAGCTCTCCTGCTAAATGGCCCCTCCACTGTAACTCACTGCTGCACTTTCTCAAGGCCAATGGATTAGCGAGAATGAAAATTGAGACTATTGGCTCCCAGACAAACAGCACGGGACAGAAACAGTGCCTGTATCTTAGACAGGGTTTCCTCTCTCAGTGCGTCATGAAAGTCATTTCTGAGGTGAGCTTTGAGTCTTAAAGATAATTTAGCAAGAGGAAAGTAACTGGTGCAATTTCACCTCCCCTTTCTCTGTGTAAGTGACTCTCTAGAGAAACACCAGGCATTCACTTGGACTACCATGTTTGCCTAAAAATTGTCACCTTCTTTATCAATGTATCAGCTCCAAAAATTATACATGATCACTTCAGCAATACAAACATTTAAAATCCCAGTTTGTGCTGCCATCCTAGCAGAGCTCCTGCAGAATGGTCTTCAAGTGTGCTGTGTTTCTTGCAGTACCTGTACTGTGCTCATCACCGTCACTTTCTCATTCCGTGAGTGAGAACTCTTTCCCTTCATACATAAGCTGAGCCAACAGTAACAAGGAAGAGGAGCAAGGAGTTCTGAGTAACAAGAAAGAGGAGCAATTCGATGAAGGTACTGGACAAGACAGAAGTGGATGCAAGAAACCACCCCAAGGGACTAACCGATATCACACCATCAGCTAAAATCTACATGAAGATAGCTGGTAGGCCTTGAATCTTTTCATATCCTTCCTGCTACTTCCATATCAATATAACAAAAAACTGCTGGACACCTTTTCTCCTGCTGAATTGAGGTAGATAGCTGTGGTAATACTCTGCTGTAGAGGTCTCCTTTGGCTCAGGCAGGGGGTGCCCCCTCCTGAAGCTACATAATGACAGCAGTGAGACATTTTGTGGGATACCATGTATACTTGTTGCCACTAGACCCAATTATATACTTAGGCCTGTTCCCGTATGGTGTTTTTCCCTCAGGAGGATACCTCTCTTTTGTGATACTCTTGCCAGAGCTCTGGCAATGACCACGCAGTCCAGCCTTTTCTTTCCCTGATAAACACACCAATACCTATCTGAATGCTGCAGAATTCAGGCATAATATCCTCACCTTGCTTTAGTCTCCTTAGCTTGGGTGACAGAGTTGAGTTGCAGCAGTATTAGAGACCCCAGTTACAGCTGAAGGTAATTCTCTTGGCCCAGATGTTGTAGCAGATGGGTATTAAATTGTCCTCCTATACTCCCCCTGTAATGGCTACAGGGTTGATAGGTGTGGGCTCACTGAAGCCAACATGACCTAAGCAGGTCAGGAACTGATCCATCCCCAAAGCAGGAAAGGAGACGAGGAATAGTACAGAACTGTCTCATTTTTCAACAGTCTAAATACACGCTCCCTGTTTTCTTGTAAAATCAGGATAATAATATTCTGAGGGCTGCTAGCCCTCAGATTGCAATGATTATTGCAAAACTAGGATGGGTATCTGAGCACCACTGCTAGGATGACACCTATAGTTATCCAGCCTTCATAGTAATGAGTCAGTCTTTCATGCTCTATTGCACACATGTTCTCCTGTCTACTGTAGACATAAACATTTGTAATACTGCCCAAGTCATAAAATCACAGACTGCTTTTCTTTTTTTCTGCAAAATTCATATAGGGGAGCCATGGAGAGGAGGGAATGCATATGCATTAACAGCAGAGAGCAAGAAAGATCCCACTGTAACACACACTTGTTTTCCTACTCCATTATATCCACAGCTCCAAGAAATACAGTCAAGCCCTTTGCCCATCCACAGTCAGTTTGTTCTCCTCTCCCCTCCTTCCTCAACAACACGACACACCCCCTTCCTCACATGGATACTAGTCACAACTGGGTCGAACAAATCAGGGCCTTCCAGTGATTTCACTTGGCAGTAGATCTAAAATTCAGTGTGTGGTCTCCTCTAGGGCCGCACAGGGAGACTGTTGGCTGTAAGGGTACCTGTGAGCACAGCATGCTGCCTGGCCCCTATGCCTTCCTGATTACCAGCTGCCTCACAGACAGCCTGCAGAGGCTGTGCAAGCCTGACACAGTCAGGGGCACACTGACTGGCTGGCGTGCCTAAGCACACAGGACCTTTGGGTACTGTAGGCTGCAGTCCAGCTCAGTCTGAGGCCATGCTTACAGATAGACTTTTTCTATGTGAGGTGAATCTGGTCTTGCTGGTAGAGTGGAAGCTGCCATTAGCAGGCAATACAGATACATGCTCTTTTTTCTCCACAGGGTCATTATTTCCCCAGAGCTTTGTGAGAACTAAGTGGCTCACGTGCCAGCTGTGCTCAACAGAGCCACCTCTGAAACACTCCTGCCCCTGCACAGAGAGCTCTGTGAGAATACTATATGAATCAATCCAGCTACTAGGGCACAGATGGGCTCCTATCGTTTTACCTTGTACTCCCCTCTACTGCCTGCCTGTTCCTCAGTCCCACTCTCTGGGGAAAGCCATGTTTACATTTCACTAATTTTTCAGAAATCTTTCGTAGGAATTACTGTTTGCTTCAATGTGAAAAACACTATCAAGCTTCCTATTCTGTTCACATAACAGCTTACTCCATTCAGGGAGCAAGAAGCAGCCTTCCAAAGGCACAAACAGGAGTGAGATATGCAAGTCTTTTTAAACATTAGAGGGAGCTGGTTTCTTTACGTTTAAATCTCCACTGACTACCCTAGGAGCTAGTATAGGGGTCAACTGGAGATAACAGAATGATAGACTTTAACATGCAGGGTACTGGACTATTTGATTCTCCTATTCCACAACGATTTGCACAGTGGGAATCTGAGAGTAATTGATATTTACTTACAGAGATGATATGTCCTTTCAAGCCATGTGCTGAGTCTGCGCACTCAATAACAGCACTTAGCTGTGGATAGCCCACCCCCGTCTTAATCCGAGTGGTACACACAGAACCTAGACAAGAGAATGAGAGGCAAAAAACATAGCCCATTAGGCTGACAGAAAAGATATGGCTTGTTTTCTTTTTCTTGTGGAAAAAATGTGTTTCTATCTGTATTATTTTTCCCCTCAAGAAGTCTCTATTGCCAATGTTGGCTTCTCATGGATAAAAGGAACTTGAGTTTTGAAATGCTACCACATCACTTCGTGGGAGCTGTAATTGGGGTGACTAATATCCCCCCTTTCTTCTCTGGGGCCACAATTTCCAGTTTAGGTCTCATCAGTAATGCTTCCTGGTGAGGGAATTACTGCCTCATGAGAAAGCAAATCTGACTGAGGTGCCTGAAGGGAAGGGGGACAAAAGGACCAGAGTCACAACCTGTGAGACTCAGCAGCAGCATTTAATACCTGAATATTTCTTCCAATAAATATTTCTATCTCTTTTCTACATATATTTTTAAAAATAATTCTCAGGGAAAATCTGTGCTTTTATTTTCTTTTTTATGGAGATTTTCCACAAGGAAGAGAAACCTGTCTTTTGCCTAATACTTAAAGCAGAAATATTTGGTTGATCACAATAGTTGGAAATATAAGATAATCAGCACACACAATTTAAAAAGTGAGATAAGTAATCATCAGAAAGCTGTATAGTGTAATATTACAGGAGATATACTAATTAGATTTGATTATTAAACTATTGTATTTATACACATACATGGTGCATGTATATATGTATATATAAAAATAAAGGTATATACATATATATAAAAAACCCACTTCAATTATAGTTCAACATGGTAACATGGCTATAGATCTTTTGGAATACCTTCTCTATTTTTCTACTCAGATTAAGAGTCAAAATGAGGACTGCTTTTTGGCAGTCCAGGTCTTATAATTTAGGATACAGACCATAAAGGTCAGCACGATAACAAGAATTTCAAAACAGATTCTAAACCAAATGCAGTGAAATCTGGATCCCTTCACCCAGCTGATACCCAGGTATACTCGAGCTACCAGTAAAGTAAAAGTTTCCAAAGATCTTTCAAAGAACTGACAAGGTGAAAACACTGAGAAGTATTTCTGCAAAGTACGAAGACAATTAGTTTTAAAATAATCTCCACAGGGTATGTACTTATATATGTAATGCTTTATAATAAATCATTGCCATTTTCCACAGGATGGACCACTATCTGGAAAAAAGCCTCAAGATCTGATCTTCTGTGAGGAACATTTGTTACTTGTGGTTTTGGGTGGTCAACTTGTACAGATCTGTTCAGGAAGATCTCCAGAGAGGGCTACACAGCATTTACGCCTAACTATTTCCACTTTGAGGCTACAAACTATAATATTTCTTCTTTTATATCTGAACTTGCCTGTGACAATTGCACCACACCATCTCTGTTGTTTATTCTTCATGTATTTTGCAGAATTTATTGTAGTTTGCTGTCTTCCTGGGCACAACTGCAACCTTTATTACATCATTTGCTCTGCTAAAATTATCCATTCATGAACCATAACTATTTTGCACTGTAGAGTAAACAATCTGCCTGCACTGCACTGGCTGATCACAGCTATAATGTCAGTGGCACCTGCATTAGCCAGTTTAAAATCTAGCCCACGCATGGTGACCCCAGCTGCAGTCTATGAAGAAAATAGCAAGAGGAAGGAGCACATGAACAAATGCACAAGGGAGGGAAAGAAAAAAGGGAAGACAATATGGCGGTATATGCCAGACAACAATATTAGGGAAGAGAAGGTAGGAAAAGCACTGTAAGTTTAGGGTCCTCCCATTTATCCATGGGAATGTTACAGTGATAGGTAACATATAAGTGCATTAATGTAAGTATTATAGCTCCCAGGCAATAGTAACAGGTAGAGGCAATGTTATCCATACTTCACACTTAATTAATACCATTTCATCTTTGAAGACATTGACAAGATGGGCAACCTCAGAACACAAATCATAAAGCTATTTAGAAACCTATCTTTCCTTGATAGAAGTGGATACCTGAACACAGCATCCTTTGAGCTGGAATGACTCAGCCTCTTTTCAACAGGCTAGAAAAAGTGTTCCTAAACACAACACGTATTATCACTGATAATGTCAGCTACTCAGGCAACTCAGTGCTTCCAATAATAGTCATCTTCACTGCCAGAAGATGGAATATGTAACACTTTGCAGTATGAAACACTAGCACCCTGCCCATGTATTTCTTAATTATATTATGTGCAAGGGCAGTGTTACTTTATTGACCTGAGCGGGTCTAGGCATCCTAATGGGCAAGCAAACAGCATTATAAACCGGTTCCATCTGGACAACTCCCCCACCAACGTTACCATGTCACCCTTATTTGACTGGGTTTGACTTACCTGGTCCGATACCCACTTTAATAATATCTGCTCCGGAAAGAATAAGTTCTTCTACCATCTCTCCTGTCACCACATTGCCTGCCTAGACAGAAGGAACAATATCACATATATGGGAGATGTCAAGACTACTGCAGTAAAGATGATAATGTACAGTTTTATCCAGAGCTTTTATGAGTTGAACTATACAGAGTCAGGAAGAATATAGTTCACCGTATTGTTCATTGTGCATGCCACAGGGATTAAACAAATCATACAGGTACATTCTCCAGTCAAATGAATTTCATGATTGGTCCAGTAAACCCCAATCCTTAAGATTCCATCAGGATATCTGCTTTGTCTTCCATCCCCCTAATCCTCACCCAGCGGTTCTCAACCACATCATCCCTAACCATTAAGGGCTATACAGTCAAACCTCTCCCTTACATATAGTGCAACTCCTCCACCTCTCCTGCCCTGCCTATCCCTCCTGAACAGCCTACAGCCCTCCATCCCATTTGCCTACCTCACTTTGTGGGAAGATATTCAGATCTTATCTAAAACCCTGGCAAATCTCTTTTTCCTTTAGGATTTAGTATTTTGAGTACTGAAAGAGTAAGGAAGGTTCTATTCTTGCCATTTTGTACTTTGGTGCCAAAATTGGTATGTACATTCAGACCATGTAAATAAGGGCATATATACCATATACATTCATTTGGTTGTGGTGATGCCAGAGGTGAAAGAAAGGGGTTTGGTTCCCTCTGCATGATCTTTGCAGAGATGCAGAGAGCACGCTGTTTATGGTGAGGTCTTCTTCTCGGAAAGAAGTCTTGAATTGTTTTGTGTTCTTTACCATATTTTTCCTTGCACTTCCATAGCTCTTTCCTTTGGCCTTCATTCTCAATACCTTTCTTGAAAGTGATGGCAGCCCTCTCAGCCTTTGTCTTGCTCCTTCGAGTCATTGTCTTCTTCTGTAGGCCCTCCATGCCCCTAATCAACTGCTTAGTCTTTGTTTGCCTTCATTCCAGGCAGAATTTATCTATCATAGTGGCACAGGTGAGTTCTCACCAGGGCTTTGCACAATGCTTGCCTTTCCTACGGAAATATCTTGCCTGATGCACAAGGCGGCATTTGCCTGTATCACATTCGTGACTCATAGTCACCCTGTAATCTACTCACGTCTCCAGGAACATTTGCCTACTCCGATGTTTCCAAACTGGAGCAGAAACTCATGGCGCTCCACCTGACGTTGTGTTACCTATTTCTACTCTGCAGTTCTTCACGCACGCTTTAGTGATGTAGGGGCTATCTCTTCTGTCAGAGCTTCAGCTGGTAGGGAGTATGGGGGCTGTAGAAATATACCATGAGATACAGCTTTTTCTGGCTCATGGATGCCATGAAATCCAGAACATGATGTGGACATTTCCTTAACATAAGGAAACCTACATTTCTTGAAGCATGGTTTTCTGCAATCTAAATTCAAAAGACCTGACCATGAACTTCACCGTTTCATACATTTGATGGCATCAAAGCGTGAAGGGTGGAGCCTGAGCGATGTGTTAATGAGGCTTTCACCCATCAGTGGCCTGCTGGAGTCCAGCTCCATGCAGCAGGACCAGGAAATCCAGCCCTCCACCAGCCGGGTGAGCAATGGATGCACTGTGTGGGTGGGCTCTCAACAGGAAGCTGGTGGTATCAGGCTAGTCACTTTAGAAATGGATGTCTCCTCCTAGGAAAGGAAATAACCACAGCTGCCATTAACTGAGCTTCCATTTTGGAAGTTTAATTGGAGAAAGTGCCAAATCAGCTGATGTGGCACTGAAAAAGCTACAAGAGACAAAACACTGGTGGGTCAGTGTGATGCAGTTAGTGGTGCTGCTGTCTGTGGGGATAAGCTTTACCCTCCAGGAATGTGAATACAGGTCTCTGAGTTTTTAAATTAATTCTGCAGGCATTTAGTGAAGAGGAAGGTTGTTGCTGATCATGCTGATGTGGGTAAGTAGTTGGCTAGCCAGGTGGCCATCCAACACTAAAAGGCAACCACCTCTTTTTAAGAGTCCCTACGTGCCTCTAAGATAGCTGCAAAGAAGGACTGAAGATTTTTGCTTTCTATACGCCCATCTGAAACCACCTGAGAATGTCGGTATGATGAAATTACTGATGACATTATTCAGATACAAAGGAGCTTTTTTTTTTTTTAATTAATAAAAGAAACGACGAAAAACAGTCTTCTAGCACACATATGGTAATTAGTTTGCAAAACTGGTGCAATGAGTGCAGAAAGCTGCCAGACCAGTCTATTCAGTTAAAGAATCCCAACATTTTGATGCAAGCTCAGTATGATGAGACAGGCCCTTGCATGTGTCCAAAGGTGGATCTGGTGGATCAGCAGGCAGAGTGAGGCTAGAGACGAATTCCCTTACCAGGAGTGCCTCCTGTCCAGAGGGCTTTTAAGAAAAAGACAGTCTTTAAGGAGCAAGGATTTCAAACAACTTGGGATTTATGAGCTAAAACCTATGCTTTGAGTTACGCTTGTAAACAAACTGGTAACCAGTATGTTTTAAGACCACGCTTTCCTCTCAGCAAAGGGCTGCACAAGGCAAATGAATGCTGACATAGCACATCCTGAAACAATTAGCTATAGCTGTACTAATTGCATTTCTGTACTGGGGGGAACACAGTATGGGAATGCAATCCCGTCAATTGGGCCCCACAATTTCAAGAGGATGTTAAGGTGCTTGAATGTGTCCAGAGGAGGGCAACAAAACTGGTGAAGGGGCTGGGAGGCACGTCCTATGAGGAGCGGCTGAGGACACTGGGTTTGTCTAGCTTGGAGAGAAGGAGGCTGAGGGGTGACCTCGTTGCTCTACAGCTTCCTGAGGAGGGGAAGTGGAGAGGGAGGTGCTGATCTCTTCTCCCTGGGATCCAGTGCCAGGACACGTGGGAATGGCTCAAAGCTGCGTCCCTCAGGGGAGGTTCAGACTTGACATTAGGAAGCATTTCTTTACTGAGAGGGTGCTCAACCCTTACCTTCCATGACTTTCTCTGACCTTCCCTGACCTTCCATGACCTTCTCTGACCTTCCCTTCTCCTCCCTCACCTTCCCTTCCCTGAACTCCCCTTCCCTTCCCTTCCCTTCCCTTCCCTTCCCTTCCCTTCCCTTCCCTTCCCTTCCCACCTCCTCCTTTCCCTTCCAGTACATGCTGAGGTAATCTGTGATGACATTTCTTCCCAGCCCTGCACTAGCAGAAGGGATTGAATGGGTAATCATGTTCCACCCTAGGCACTGGCTCTGTCACTTTCTGGGAAGAAGGCATGTACCTTCTGATGGAGGCGAGAGCTGTAGGTCATCTCAAGATAATTTGACCATCTGAACAAATCTGCAAAAAGCATGTGGGAACTGCAGTTCAAGTCTTCTATGAATCCAGTTTAGCTGAGTTTCCACAGGATCGCAAAAAACCCCACAGCTCTGACACTAGTGAGGCTCAAAGATCAAGCCCTCAGTCTGAAGCGGGAAGTGCTCCGGAACTAAATGGTTCCAAATATTTTTGAGGTGAGCAATACCTGTTCATTTCCCCGTGGATTTGTTTTTTTTCTCCTTGTACTCATTTTTAGCTGTTTCCCTTGGAAAAACATAATAAAACGAAAGAGCCAGAGAACAACAGTACTCCATCAGAGTGAAGGTCCATCTGGCCCAATACTGTCTCCAAAGTGGCCAACCATAAATGTCTGAAGGACAGTATATGAGCAGTGCAGGTCTACTTCTGCCAGGGTCCTGGGGGCGCTCATAGGCCTCAATGGCTGGGACCAGACTCCTCTGGGACCCCCACCCACACCATCTCCTGCCAAGGGCCCAGGGGACGTGGTGTCTCAGCTCAGCCTGGGGCCTTCAGTCCCTGCCTGAGCGATGTTGTAGGTGTGCCCGTCTCTGCCCCTCTCTCCGGGATGGGCCTGAGACCTGCACTGCAGAGAGCTGCTCTCCTGGATGGACCCCTCAGACCTAGGCCATATCTTTTCATGCAGAACTATAGGCATAACATAGCGTAACTGTTCCGTTCTATTCTATTCTATTCTATTCCCTGCGCTCACAATGAGTTGAATAACGATGAGACTGTTATTTGCCTGAAATACCAGGGGGTTTTCAGCTCCAAAAACACTTTCAAGGACACATATCACAAAGGTTACAAGTGGAAGCAGGATTTTACTTTATCTTATTTTTCTGAATCTGTTTCAGAGCTAATGCTCACAAGCATTAACACAATGCACAGGTGTAGCCAGGAGCAGGCTGATGCATTCTTTGATTTAGCTTGAAAAAACACCCCTTGCAGTCTGGCAAAGGAAAGCCAGAGCCGCAGAAAGTAGCAGCGGGAATACAGGCCAAGAAGTCCCTGTTTCCTGAAGAGTGAGAACTTGAAGAATGAGGACCATGACCAACCACACACAAAAGAAGTGTGTGGTACCGTGGGGTATTTTCCAAAGTAGGACATGTATCGATGACAAGCATCCTTTTTGCCTTCCAGAACTTGCTCCGCTCTGCTTCTTGGCCAGTGATGCATGAAAAGCACTCTCGTGCCTGCCCCGCGCTTGTATTGCATGCAGGGAGAGCTGAAAAGTGGCAGAACCTCGCCAAAATGGCCCAGAGGAGCCCTGACAAGGGGCTGTGCTCCGTGCTGCAGAGGAAGGCAAAAAACCCCTGGGGAGACTTGCTAGCCCACCTTGGGGGAAAAAAAGCCTTCCTCCCCCCAGGCGCAGGGCACAGGAGGCCATCTTCGTGGTGCATGAGCAGCAGGCAGTAATCTAGCCAAAATGGACCAGAGGAGCCCTGCCCTGACAAGTGGTCATGCTCAATGCTGCAGAGGAAGGCAAAAAACCCCCAGGGACCAGTGCCAACCTGCCCCGGGGGAAAATTCCTTCCTGACCCCAGAGCTGGCGATCAGCTATTCCCTAAGCATGTGAACAAGACCTGCCTCCTCGTCCCACAGGCTGCTCATGCCTCCCAGGAGATGCCCCACCCCTATTCTCCCTCAAACCGGAGCCATCTCCGGGGCTTCCCAGGCTGGCCAAATGCCCCCGGCCTGATCTGGCTTCATTGACCTTGGGGGCGAG